CTGCTGGAGGGTGGCATTCCCCTGGCGTGGGTCCTGTGGCACGGAGCGCCCCGACCGGGATGGGTACCTCCAGCACATCCCTGAGCTATGCAAACTCTGGGCCGGGGGCTGTCGTGCCCTCTCCCCGCGGCTGAGCCCTGGCCCCCGCTGCCGGCTTGCCGGACACCAGGCAGAGGGACTATGGGGCCGCGGGACCGGGCAGCTCCAGGCAGGGACGGAGGGTCACATCTGGAGACAACCCAGGGCAGGGGCAGCCTTCGGCTTCGCAGCCCCAGGACCCAGACCAGGGAGGGGTCTCTCCTCTGCGTGCTGAAGCCAGGGGAGCTGGCTTAGCCCCGCAGCCCCCGGCCCTGCCCCATCCCACCCTGTGCTGCCACCCCGGGGGTGCGGGAAGTATCCCAGCAGAGCCGGTAACATCCCCCGGCACTTTCCGGTGTCACACCGCGCACAAGACGACGATCAATCGCTCTGCCGGTAGGTGTGTCGGGGGATGCCCACTGGCTGCTCAGCCTCTGCTCCAAGTGTCTCCTTTCTTCTCACTTCTACACCCTGCCATTAGCCAAGCTCCTGCTGCCGGGGCCCGGTGGGCACTCAGCCGGAGCCAGCGGCATCGGGGAAGGTTTCATCCTGTAAATGGGTTCCCTGTCATGTTCAATCATCATCAGCGCTGGAGACGCTGCTCGCCGCTTGCCCTGCTGCCCCACCGAGCCTTGCAGAGGGAGCCAGCCTGTCTCCTTGGGAGTGCAGATGCTGTCATCCATGGGTGCCAGCAATGGCCTTCTGGCATGGTGCTGACCTGAGATCAGGGGGATGGACATGGGGACCCGTTGCTGGGCAGGTGGGTGGCACTCAGGGTGGCTCACGGCCGGCTTTTCCCCCAGGAACCTGCTGGACATGGACACTTTCTCCAAATCCGACCCAGGTGGGTGGCAGAGCCAGGCAGGGGGTATGGCATGTCATGGCACAGACATGGTACAGCAAGGCAGCCTGGCTCTGCTCCTCTCTCCGCAGTGGTGGTCCTCTATGTGCAGGTCTCGGGGAGCAGCGAGTGGAAGGAGGTGAGCGTGGCCCCCTCTCCTGGCTAATCCCCGGCTCGGTTAAACGGGCCCATATGGCCACCCGTGTCCACGCTAATGATCCCTCCCCGTCCACGCTAATGATCCGGCCCCGCCAGCAGCGCTAATCCCCCACCGGGATTAGCGCCGAGGCAGCTGCGATGGGGACGGGTCCTGGGGGGGGCCACCCTCACCCCTCTCCCTCCAGTTCGGACGCACCGAGGTGATCGACAACACCCTGAACCCCGACTTTGTCCGCAAGTTTGTCCTCGACTACTACTTCGAGGAGAAGCAAAACCTCCGCTTTGATGTGTGAGTAGGGTGGCCAGGGAAGGACTTGGCCCCGCTGAGGGTGGAACAAAGCACCGAGTCAGTAATAAATAAGGATAATAAATAAGAATACAGTGTTGAATAGCCCAGATGGGTGGGGAAGTGGGGCTGTGTGCTGGAGCATCCCTGCAGGCACCAGCTCAAGGCTCTGCTCTCCCACACCAGCTACAACGTGGACTCCAAGAGCTGCTCTGCATTAAAGCAGGTGAGCACAATCTGTGCCGGGGGGACTCGGTGTGATGCCATGGTGGGACACCCCGAGGCTGTGCCCTGTGTGGGTGCTGTCTGGGGGGGATAAGTCCCCCTTGGAAGGCTCTAACCTGCTCTTCATCTCTCTGTGCCCCTTGGGATCTGGCAGAAGGTAGGTGCCTGCCCCACACCAGCCCCTGCTCTGCCCTGGGAACCCAGCCCTCATGGGAGTGCATGGTGGGGCAGGATGGGGCCAGGACACTCTATAAGGTTGGCTCTTGAGGAGTAGGATGGGTCTAGGGTGACCCAAGGGGTCCAGGACAGGTCAGAGCATGTAGGGCAGTTTGAGGGGGGACACAGGATGTGTCCAGGGATGTGGGCTGGCCTTGGGGGCACAGAATGAGTGTAAGGCACATGGAGTGCATACCTGGGGTAGTCCTGGGGATGCACAATGAGTCCTGGACTGCAAGGTAGCTCTTGGGTCACAGTGTAGGTTCAGGGAAACTTGGGGTGACCCAGAGCCAAGTTCATGGCAGGTCAGATTGCATGGTGCATTGGGAGAGAAAGTGGTGGGTGGGGGTGGTGGGGGACTGGAGCAACAGCCCTCCAGGGTCTCACAATGCTTTGTTTGGGGGACAGGACTTCCTGGGTCAGGCATTTGTGGCACTGGGAGAGGTGATTGGGTCCCAGCGGGGACGCCTGGAGAGACCCCTAACGTGAGTAACACCATGTGATGAGGTGAGGTGAGGTGGGAGGGTCCCACACTGTGTCTCCACCACTGCCCCACTGGATCTCTCCCTGCGTGTCCTGTACTGGTCATACTGCCAAGCACCACCAGCTGTGGGACAGAAGCCCCAGATCACCTCACTTCTTGCCCCTGAACTGTCCTCCTTGTCCCCAAGCTGACCGTGTGCCTCTGGTTCCAGGGGTGTCCCAGGGAAGCGGTGTGGGACCATCCTGCTGCTGGCCGAGGAGCTGAGCAACTGCCGGGTGAGTACCCGTGTACCGGCTGCAGTGTGGAGAGGGCTGCATGGTCCCTCAGAACAGAAGCTGCTGGTGCCAGGGGTGAGGAGGTGGATGGCAGTGACAGTCCCTGTCCCCAGGACATCGTCACGATGCAGCTGTGCGCCAACAAGCTGGATAAGAAGGACTTTTTTGGAAAATCCGATCCTTTCCTCGTCTTCTATCGTAGCAATGAGGATGGCACGTGAGCACAGGGACCCAGTGGGGCAGAACGGGGTGCCAGCGTCACCAGATGGCATGGCCCAACCCTGGCCTGTCCCCTCAGCTTTACAATCTGCCATAAGACAGAGGTGGTGAAGAACACACTCAACCCGGTGTGGCAGCCCTTCACCATCCCTGTGCGCGCCCTCTGCAACGGCGACTATGACCGGTAAGGAATGGGGATGGGGACAGGGACAGGGGCAGCCATGGGGCTAGAGCAGGGTATGAGGAGTTCTTTGTGGACTTGGCCCTGCAGTGGCAGGCAGCTCAGAATTGGGTCCTGATTGGGTTTTTTTCTCTTTTGCAACCCAAATTACATAAAGGCATCCCCCTCCTTTCCAGGGCCCCCACCGTGACCCAAATTTCCCGCTCCCTCCTGGCAGAGCCACAGGCTGGGCAGGCAGGGCGGTTCTGCTGGAAGCTGGTGGGCAGGGTGCTCACTGTGGGTTGGGCTGTGAGGCTGGGTGTCCCCAAATCAGGGGCTGGAGGGGCTGTGCCAGCCTGGCTGGTGGCTCACCCACTATGTGCTTTCACTTTCAGGACAGTGAAGATAGATGTGTACGACTGGGACCGGGATGGGAGGTGAGGGAAGGGACATCAGGGTGCTGCTGAAGATTCCCAGGGCACCTCTCACCCAGGTGCCTGGCCATACTGACCCTGTGTTCCTCCTGCAGCCACGACTTCATTGGGGAATTTGCCACCAGCTACCGGGAGCTCTCTCGAGCACAGAGTCAGTTCACAGTGTATGAGGTAGGATGGTGGGTCAGGGTGAGGGCAGGGTGCACTCCATGCTGAGACTGACCCACTGCTTTGCCTGCAGGTGCTGAATCCCAGAAAGAAATGCAAGAAGAAGAAATATGTGAATTCTGGCACCGTGAGTGGAGCTGGGGAGTTCCTGGGCCTCCTGCCTTCCAAGGGCTGGTGCTGCTCCACGTGCTGTGTGTGCCAGGTTGGGGGGCTCCAGACCTGATCCCCTGCACCCACAGGTGACGCTGCTCTCCTTCTCCGTTGAGTCTGAGTTCACCTTCGTTGACTACATACGGGGCGGGTGAGTGGGGGGCCAGGAGCCCCCCGGCTCCTCGAGATCCCACATGGCTGGGGGTCTTGGGGCAAGGACAGTGGTGACAGTGAAGGTTCAGCCAAGAAGTGACAAGGGGGCAGTGGGGCTGGGAAGTAGATGCAGAACGGTGGCATGGGGCTGTGGGGTGCTGGCTGGGGAAGGGGCGCCCAGGCAATGAGTCTGGGCAGGGAAACACCGGCACTTAGGGGTCTGGAAGATGGTATCCCTGTGCCATGGGGCCGGCAGCCTCCTTCACTCTCCCCCTAAAGGACACAGCTGAATTTCACTGTTGCCATTGACTTCACGGCCTCCAATGGTGAGTGTACCTGGTGTCTGGGGGGTCCCCATCACCGTGGGGCTGGCCATGGGGTGCGATGGGCACTGTGCTGCAGGGTTGCCATCACAGCCCACCTCGCTGCACTACGTGAGCCCCTACCAGCTGAGCGCCTATGCCCTGGCACTGAAGGCAGTGGGGGAAATCATCCAGGACTACGACAGTGACAAGCTCTTCCCTGCCTACGGCTTTGGTGCCAAAGTCCCACCTGACGGCAAGATCTCCCACCAGTTTCCTCTGGTGCGCCCTCCCTGTGAGACAAGGCTAAGAGTGAACCCAGACCCCCTGGCTGTGGGGCAGAGCTGGTCTTGGGGTGTCCATGGTAGCTAGGTGCAGAGGGGAAGCACCCTGGCCACATTCTGCCCCAGCATCCTACAGCCTGGGGGACACCAGGAGCTGTAGTGCCCCTCCAAGTGTTCATCTCTGTCCCCAGAACAACAATGCAGAGAACCCCAGCTGTGCTGGCATTGAAGGCGTGCTGGAGTCCTACCTCCAAAGCCTGCGCACTGTCCAGCTCTATGGTCCTACCAACTTTGCTCCTGTCATCAACCAGGTGGCTGGGTGAGCACTGGGGCACTGTCCCCTTTGCCATCCCCAAATGTCATCTGTCCCACAGCAGGGTTGACTGGCCCACACCAGTGGGGTGTTTGAGGGACCCCATCCATTTTCCCCATAGGACAGCTGCCCAGGTGACTGATGGCTCACAATACCATGTCCTCCTCATCATCACTGACGGTGTCATCTCTGACATGCTGCAAACCAAGGAAGCCATTGTCACCGTGAGTGCACCCTTGTTGCTCTGAGTTCACTTCACATGGGCATTATCCTGGCTGACACCCTCCTCTGCTCCACAGGCTTCCTCCCTGCCCATGTCCATCATCATCGTGGGAGTAGGTCCAGCTGAGTTTGAGGGTGAGTTGGGATTTGGGGACACCAGGGAAGAGGGATGGAAACATTGTCCCCTTCTCTGGGATGCCAAAGGCATCCAAAGGGCTGGTGTTTCCATCCCCGGTGTTCACCCCGCCGAGGCTTGGTGACACCAGCTGTCACCCCCAGCCATGGAGGAGCTGGATGGTGATGAGGTACGGTTGTCTTCCCGGGGACGGTATGCTGAGAGGGACATTGTACAGGTAACTCTGGCATTGAATCCAGACCTGCCATGGGTGGGAGATGCTCAGTCCCCCTTGTTGAACCCCACACCAATAGAGTTGTTTCCAACCTGACTGCAAACTTCTTGCCCTCAAAGTTTGTGCCATTTCGGGATTACGTGGATGACTCAGGCAACCAGGTGCTGAGCATGGCCCGCCTGGCCAAGGATGTGCTGGCTGAGATCCCCGAGCAGCTTCTCTCTTACATGAAGACCCGTGACATCAAGCCTCGCCAGGCAGGTCCCGAGTAGCTCTTCCATGAGCCATGGGACTGGCTGGTGAGGCAAGGATATATCACCTTTTTTCTGCCGGTGGTCAGGGCTTAACTATGGAGATGTAGCCCCATTAGGGAGATAATCAGCTGCTATGGTTGGTCAAAACAGGGCTGAGACCACCTCTGGCAGTGAGACCACAGGGCTGGACATCCTCGGCTGCCTCTTCCTCCTGCCAGATGTCCTGCAGCCATGGCGGGACTGTCCCTCGGCAGTGGCAGTGCAGGCAGGGCCAGCACCGGGGAGGACACGGTGTGTGCGTGTGTGTGTCCCGGGAGAGCAGCCTGGCGTCTGCCCCGGGGAAAGGCTGACCCTGAGTGCCTGCCGAGGGTCTCAGCCTCGCTGCTCCTTGGGGCAGCGGCCTCGCCCTGCTCCTGCCTGCGCCCCATTCCTGCCTGCACCCCGCTCCTGCCTGTGCCCTCTCCTCCGGCTCTGCTAACCCGGGCTGGCCGGCCTGCCTCATGCCCTGCCCCACGGCCGGGGCTCCCAACACCGCGGGGTGCCGGGGCGGAGGGCAGGCGGGTCTCTACTGCGTTACCGACTGTAAATAAACTGCTCAACCGGGTCTGT